GCAGTTTTAACGCTAGTAATATAAGTAGGAATTTCTTTGACGAACGTTCGCCGATCGCCAGCGGAACTCTATTGTCTCGTGTTCTGCCTCGGGACTCATTCTCCAGCCGCACAACAGCTAGTCATGTAGGCACATGAGCATTGCCAGAAAGACAAGAGGGACTTGAATGCCATTTCTGGCGCATTGGTCGTCATCAACCAGCCATGTCCAAGCCCAATTGGTGAGCCACCCGAGGCTTGAACACGCAATCTCGTTAGCTGGAAGTCGAACGCAATCCCGGTGTTAAAAGTCAGGCAAATAAAGTTCTTGTCGTCGATGAACGTTCATCGATCGCTAGCGAAAAGCACTCTTCCCGCGCTCTGCGTTGGGGCCCATTCTCGAGCCCCGCCAGCTGCCACACAGCGGCTAGTAACTAAGGTAGATAGCAATGCCAGCAAAAACATGGGAGACTGGAATGGCCATTTCTGGCCCATTAGCCGCGTTGGATTTCTAACCAAAAGGTCGTGGTTTCGAATTTCGCGTGGTACACCCCATGGGATGCACCACCCGAGGAAAGTTAACAATAGTTGTGATGGTGACTGCAGAGCTGGCAGAAGTCAAATATACTTCTAGTTAACTGACAACCCATTACGTCGTAACTGCCTGACGAGGAGAAAGGAGAAGCCCACTTGCAACCGGAATAGACCAGTGAACGTTACTGTTATAGTATTCCGGCAAAGACAGGCACCCTAGGATGGCTATTTCTGGCTTTATTGGCCGTCGTCAGCTAGGGGTAGCCAAATCCAGTGTAGCCGCTGAAATTGCTGCCACACTCGAGTTTCGCAATTACAATATTTCTGATGATGAGAAATGGAACGCGAGCTCTAGACCCAACCAGTAGCCGCTGGACCAATTGAACTCGGCCAGATTGGGGTAGGCCTGACTGACTACAGCGAATAAGCCAGAAATGCTTGGTCGAATTTCCTTTCACCTAACCAGCACTTCATGATTTTTATTGCTCATTTTTATGTGACAATCTCCCCTTTATACAGCCCTGTAACACATAAAAATCGACGATAACATTCAGGAAGACGCTAGTGGGAATTAAAAGCGCCATGGTCCTCCCCCCCCCCTTTCCGTCCTACGGTCTGCCTGCCCGGTCGCAGAGGTTAGGTAACGTAAACCAGAAAATGGGCGGGAAGACTCCAAAATTCTAAATATAATCCAATGTCAACGTAAATGATAACAAAAAATATCGTACAGAAGAACAGAGGCAACTGTCTCCCCGAGCGGTAAGAAGAGACGCAAGAAAACTAACAAACC